GCTGAACTTAAATGTCCAATATCAAAAATCAAAAGGTTCAATGTTGATAAGTCACTTCAATTTTGGTTACTTTTGTATGTAGTAAAGACATTATATACTAACAAAAAAAACAGAAAATTGAATCCAAAACATGATGTACTCTTTAGGAGACTGAAATGCAAAGTGGAGTAATTATGCCACTAATATAAAATGGGAGGTAAAAGTTTCATTATGCAAGGTAAGTTCTAGATTTCCACTATACAGCATAGTGCCTACAGCGAACAGTACATACTGCATACTGAGAATATGCTACAGGGTAGGTTTTATGTTATGGGGTCTTACCACATGCACACACACACGCACACACACACTAATAATGATGATGATGATGATAATGTGGCAGGAGGGAAGTCTGGCCTCCATGGTGATGATGATTTCACAGGTGTATGTATATTATCCCAAAACTCATCAAGTTGTACAGCCTTTTAATGTCAATCATACATCAATAAAGTGGTGGGGGTTTTTTTTAAATAAAATGGTTGTGAAAAAATGCAGCAACCAATAAAGTTTAACACACTTCAGAAAACAAAGCAAAATTTGAACTTTTAGGAGAACATCTTCATGATCTGAAGAAAAAGTGGATTTATCAAACAAGGCAAAAAAAAAAGCATAAACCATAAGGTACAAAGACAAATTCAATTACATTAAAATGTAAAACTATTCACAAAAAGTCACTATTACTAAAGTGAAGGTGAATCTCATATTAGAAGAAATGTGTAATTATAAATCAAAAGATAAGTATCAAGAATATATTAAAAGTATCTATAAGTAATAAGAAACAAACAAGCCCTGGCCAGTTTGGCTCAGCGGTTAGAGTGTCAGCCTGCGGTCCCAAGAGACCCGGGTTCGGTTCCCGCTAAGGGCACGTACCTCTGTTGCAGTTTGTCCCCGGCCCTGGTTGGTTGTGTGGGTGGCAGTCCCTTTCACGTCAATGTTTCTCTCTCTCTCTCTCTCTTCCTCTCTCTCCCTCCCACTCTATCTGAACAAAAAAATGGAAAAATGCCCTCGGGTGAGGATTAAAAAAAAAGAAACAAACAAGCCAAATGGTCAAAGAATGTGTGCAGACCATTTAAAGAAGAAAGGCAAAACAGCAAATAAAAATGCTTAACCAGCCTTGACTGACCAAGTTCTTCACACAGTTCAGAGCTAGTCACTCATGCTTTTTTATATATATATATATTTTTTTTTTTCATTGATTTTTTAGGGAGAGAGAAACATCAATTGAGAGGGAAACATCAACTGGCTGCCTCCTGCACGCCCCTCTGGGGATCAAGCCCACAACCCAAGCATGTGCCCTGCCTGGGAATCAAACCGGTGCCTCTCAGTCCATGGGAGGACGCTCAATCCACTGAGCCACACCGGCCAGGCTCAGTGTCAGTCTTTCTAATCACCCTTGTTTCTGTCTCTCATTTCACTGCGTTTGATTGGCTGAACAGTTATCTTGATTACATCCTACTGCCCACCCCTCTATGTGCACCCACACAGCAGAAAGTGAATGAGGACAAAAACACCCGTTCTCACCTTAAATTCCTGAACACTAACCTCCAGTGGTCCTCTTTTACCACCCGGCAGTCACACCATACTTTCCTATTTCATTCACTCTCCCATTCCCTACACAGTATTTCTTACCTTCTATCTCTCCTCCTTCCTGGCCCTCACTCACAGCTTTCTTTTTTCTAAGAAAATAGAAGCGATTAGAAGAGAACTTCCTCAAGCCCCAATCACATCTACCCTCTTATCCACATCCATGCCATATATTCTGCCTTTCCTCCAAGTACAGGTGAAAATCTGTCCACACACCTAGCAATGGGCAATCTCCCACCTGTACAATAAATTCCAACAGTTCATGTGTACCCAAGAAGGTAAACCAGCAATTCTCACTTCACCCTCAATTATTTTTGCCCTCTTTTCTGGATCCTCCCATCAACGAGTAAGCATGCAGTGACTTCTCCCATCTTTAAAAAATGTGTCTTAACCCACTTTCCCCACCTGTCAACTATTACTCTCCTTCCCATTGTAATAAAACTCCTTAAAATGAAGAGTTGTTAATAATTACTGTCTCAAATGTCTCTCCTCCCATGTTGTTTATAAATCCAAGAAAGAATTTATCCCACCACTCCAACAAAATGCTCTAGCCAAGATCACAGTAGCCTCATGTTTTTCAATTCAACTGTCAATTCTTGGTTGTCATCAGCTGCGTTTGACACGGGCCCTCTATCTTCCTGGGAGCATCTGAAGACACCACAGTCTCCTGGTTTTTCCTTCTGCCACTCGTCAAGCTCCTTTCCTGGCTTCTTCTCAACTCCCTAACCTCTAGGCACTGTGGTGTCCAGGGCTCAGTTCTTTTCTAGCTAACAACTCCCTTGGTCCTCTCATGCATTCTCATGACTTTCAATGTCATCTCAGGCTAGCACTGCTCAAATGTGTATCTCCACTCCAGACCCAGGTCCTGAACCCCGGTGCCTTTATCCACTAGTTTGCTTGGTACTTCTTGGTGGATGCTCTTCCGCTTACCACTCCAGACTCACCCTCCAACCTTCTCCTCCCTGCTCCGCCCTAGGAATTGATCTATATGATGACAGTTAACAGGATTCCCTTGCCTTCTGGCCTCCAACAGGCTAAGCTATGGGAAGCCCTGGCAGGAGAATGGAGGAGAAAAAGAGCTAAAGACCAGAGTATTTATTCTCCTCTGTGGAGTCACCTTCACTGGCTAGATCTCTTGACCAAAGGTGATTCATCCTCTCAAAGTAAACTGCTCTCCATGAATCTCTCCTTCAGAGTTCCAGCAGCTAGGGCTGGTAACATCTCTGCTCCCCCCACTGTGCTATCTCCGTGCTTCCCCTACATCCTACCCACACCTTCGTAAAGGATTCCTTTGTTCACACTTCTTCTCATGATATTGAATGTGCCATCTATTCCTACAGAACTCTGACAATACAGAGGTCTAACTGGCATCTCAGTTTTAACACATGCAAAAGTGAACACCTCTGATAGTTTTCCCCATCTCAAATAATGGCAACCCCCTTCTTCTAGCTGTTCTGGCCAAACAGCTGGTGTCATACCTGTCCACAGTTTTATGTTATTCGCCACAGTCGCAAGACCTCCATGCAGTCCCCTCAGAGCAGACCCGGGACCCAACCATCCCGCACCAGCTCTCCTGCTACCACCCTGGCCACGGCCACCTGAACAAATACTTGTCTGGATTGTTGCAATAATCCAACCAGTCTACCGGCTCCCTCCCTCACCTGTCTTCAGGTTACTCCAACACTACAGCCAGAGCGATCCTGTTAAAATATGAATTAGCTATAGTTCTCTTCTTTTTTCTTTTTTTTGTTACACATCACCAGAGGATATTTTTTCCATTGATTTGTTTTTTTTTGGTGGGGGGGGTTGATGTTAGAGAGACACATCGATTGGTTGACTCCTGCACAACCCTGACTAGAGCCAGGAATTGAACCTGCAACCCAGGTATGTGCCCTTGACCGGAAATCAAACCCAAGACCACCTGGTACATGGGTTGATGCTCTAACCACTGAGCAATCTGACAAGGGCTCCTCCTCTCTTCAAAACCCTCCGGTGGCTACTCATCACAGAGACTCAAAGCCTCTGAACATGCTATCCCCTTTGTCTGGAAAACTCTTCCCACAGACCCTCAGTGCTGCTCCCTCACCTTCCTCAAGTCTTTATTCAAAATGTCATCTTCTCAGTGACACCTTCTGTCACCCTTTCTAAATTTGTAACAGCCCCTTCCCACTTTATTTCTACCCTGAACAATCACCACCATTTAATATCTTACGTCCTTTTCTTTTCTTTATTGTGTCTTCCAACCTCTAGAATGTTAACTCTGTATTGCAGGTGTTTTCGTCTGTTCTGTGCACGGCCGTATACTCAGCTTTTAAAACAGTACCTGGAAATAGTGGGCACTCAAATAATTTTTAAACAAACCATAACTAGATACCATTAAATCAACTGGCTACAACTAAAAAGTCTAACAGTGCTATGTGTTGGAAAAGAGAGTGAACATGAAGGATTCTAGCTCATCTCCGCTTTGGAGAGCAATCTGGAGATATCTAGAAAGTTTGTATGTGCATATCTATCAAACCAGCGAGCCCTGGCCAGGTGGCTCAGCTGGCTGGAGCATCATCCTATGCACCGAAAGGTTTCGGATTTAATTCTCTCACATCAGCCCTGGCCGGTTTGGCTCAGCGGTTAGAGCATCGGCCTGCGGTTCGGAGAGACCCGGGTTCGGTTCCCGCTAAGGGCACGTACTTCGGTTGCAGTTTGTCCCTGGCCCTGGTTGGTCGTGCGGTGGCAGCCACTCGATGTGTCCCTTCACGTCGATGTTTCTCTCTCTCTGTCTCTTCCTCTCTCTCCCTCACACTCTATCTGTACAAAAAATGGAAAAATGTCCTCGGGTGAGGATAAAAAATAATAATAATAATAATAATAATAATAATTCTCTCACATCAATGTTTCTGTCTGTCTCTCCTTCCCCCTTCCCCTCACTCTGAAAAAAAAAAAAAAAAAAAATCAATAAAAGCATATCCTCAAGTGAGGATTTAAAAAAAAAAAAAAGTAAGCCAAGATAGCCCACTCCAACATGAAGAAAGCCTGCAGCTCTTCTCAGGCTTATGCAATGTGAAAAGAAAACAATAAACCAGTGGCAGAAGGGGGAAATGGAGTACATATCAAAAGATGTGATTGTTGTGATCTCCCAAGAAACCACTCACCGAAAAGCAAGCCACTAAGAAATTAGTAAGCAAGGAGACTACAAAAAAAAAAAGAAAAAGAAAAATACCTATGAGACCCAAACCATGCCAGGTTTTAAGTTATAAATAAATGCTAAAATAAATAACCAAAATCATAAGCCAATGTGCATAACTGCTGGGTTAAACTAGAATTCTGAATCATCTTCAAACATGTATGCAGTATCTTTTTTTTCCCAGTTACAGTTGACATTCAAAACTATAAAATGCTTCACACATTCGCATGTCCTCCTTGCCCAGGGGCCATGCTCATCCTCTCTGCATCGTTCCACTTTTGGTGTCTGTGCTGTTGGAGCCAGTGCTCTGCACTCTCTCTTACTGCCAGAGCCTGTCGTGGTAACTGACCACACAATCGATTCAATTAAATCCACAGGGAGTCCACATGTTAATTTTATTGCATTACTTTAATGTTCCCTGTAAATCTTCCAGCAGAACAGCTGATAAAAATGGAAGCTAACCAGCACACATTTTACATTTCTCCAACCTTGAATAAAAGTGCTCTTAGACCCTTAATTGGCCAAAATGCAGGTAATGAGAGAAAAATACTCAACTGACTGGCAAAAAGATGAGTCACCAGTCCCTGAATAGTCAATGAGTTGGCTGCCATCAGCAAACCTTTACCTAAGGTGGTTACACCGTGTGCCCCATAAAAATAATGACACCAGATTGAATCTGCTCTTCTGACTCACACTCTAATACTTGCTCCACTTAACTCTCTCTTTCCAACTAATAAGCTGGGAGAGAATTCATCACTTTATGACTCTCAAAAATACAGGCAGAGAGGGGAAAAACCGGAGAACTCAAAAGCAACATAAAAGTCAGGGGAGAAGAAATTCAAAACAAACTAAAATATTATTTTCATTTTATTTCAGTGCTTCTTAAATCTTAATCCTTTAAATTTTTGTAACCTGGAAAATTTTTTTAATTGAGGTCATTTAAGAAACAATTGAGAACTCTCATCTACTTGGTCCAGTTTCCTTGGTAAAACTACAGTGTACTATCACAACCAGGATATTGACATTCTGAATCTGACACAATCCGCCTATCATACTGAGACTTCCCTGGGCTTACAGGCACTCATTTGTGTGTGTGTCTGTGTGTGGAAGTCCTACACAATTTTATCACTTGCATAGGTTTGTGCACCCAGAATCACAAGGCTCCATCATGTTGCCTTCTATAACCACATCCACCTCCCAGTCTCCCATCCCTAACCCCTGAAAACATAGTCTGTCCATTCATCTTTCAAATTCATATGTCCCACCCAACAGGGAGCAGCCCTGCCCTGTTATTTCCTGTAACTACCCTCCAGTTTCACTTTGCCGCACAACCCTCAAGGTGAAGTCGATGTTAAAAACACAGCTGGTCATAGAAGGACTGAGTTTTCCGTCCCCACAGAAAGAGAAGACTGTCCAAAGCAAAAAAGGAAAGTTTGGTATTCAGGCACACGTCTCCAATATTCACTAAGTACCGATTCCTCAGAAATCAAAGAAAACCTGCTGCTTCTCAGTGTGCCCACTTGAGAGGGGCTCAGTTCAGCATTTTTCATTTCTACGAAGACTTTTACCCATTTCATCCATGACTTAAGTCATTTACATCAGTACATGGAAACCTGGACTTCAACTTAAAGAAACGACCTTTGTTCCTTGCAAACCATTAGACACACTGTCCTTTACTTGGATTTAAAATCCATACGGCAAGTGATAAATTGCCAGTTACTAAGATACAATTTAAAAAGGAACATCGATGTCTCTGCAACTTTCATAGCACGAACCAGTATGCGAGCAGTTGGAATTCATACCTGCAGAGCTGAGAAGAACACTGAAATCTGTCCCCCTCTGTGATTCTCCACTTTCATTATCAACTTCTTTTTCAGTATCTTGATATCGATCCCAGTTAGAGACTATCTTTCTTTTAGAATAATTTCCCTGTTCATCACTCTCTTCTCCATAGGTCTCTACAGCACTGCGATCTTCAACCTGCAATCGTTAGAGAAAATCAATCAACAGTCGATGTAAATCCTGACTTTAGTAGCCTTAGCAGTCGAATAAACCCTCTCCCGAAAAAATAGTACATAGGAATCACATTAGAAAGCACATTTACAGACCAAGCTCTCTGAGGATATTAAATAATATTTCAAGATAACCCTGTTACACCAAAGTATACTTTCAGGGTAAATTTCCATTTAGGTTTCTGGCAAGTCCCTACCTAAAAACTTGTGTAACTGCTATCTCTCATGTCCACCACAGTGTGTCCTATTTCAGTAGTTGTTTCCTCCTGTTGATATAATCAAGGCTATAACAGTCTTAAACTCAAAAGACTTCAGAATAGAAATCGACCCTGTCAATTTGCAGACTTTACAAATCCACATAAATACGTTATATTGTAAGCTTTAAATGGGAACCCTGCTCAGGTGCCTTCTACACAGCAGTTTCCTGTCTTAGGCATTCAAAGGTTGAGAGAGCATGCAGGAAAATGCAGAATGTGAGAAATTACAAAAAATAAAGGGCCTAGTCTGGCCGGTTTGGCTCAGTAGTTGAGCGTCGACCCATGGCCCAAGAGGTTGCTGCTTCAGTTCTCGGGTCAGGGCACATGCCCAGGTTGTGGGCCAGATCCCCAGTGGGGACATGCACGAGGTGGCCAATCGGTGTTCTCTCTCATTAATGTTTCTTTTTTTTATTAATTCATTTTTATTTTTTTCATTAATTTATTTTTGTTACAGATATTTCTTTTTCCCCCACTGATTTCCCCCCCTCCCTACCCTGTCCCCAGCTTTGTTGTCCATGTCCACTGTTCATGCATACATGCATTTAAGTTCTGTGGTTTATCTTTCTCCCACCATCCCCTCTTCTGGGGATTGTGAGTCTGTACCCCACTTCCACCTCTCTGGGACTACCCCATTCCTCAGACTGTTGTGTTCATTATATTCCACAAATAAGTGAGATCATATACTTGTTTTCTGTTTGGCTTGTTTTGCTTAGGATAATACTTTCCAGGTCCCTCCATGTTGCCTCGAAAAAAAAACAGATCTTTCTTTCTTACAGCTGCATAATACTCCATTATGTATATGTACCACAGATTTTTTATCTGTTCCTCTACTGATAGACACTTGGGCTATTTACAGATCTTAGCTATTGTAAATAGTGCTGCTACGAACATATATTCCTTCTGATGGGTGTTTCAGGCTTCTTAGGGTATATTCCTAGAAGTGGAATCACTGGGTCAAATGGAAGTTCAATTTTTAATTTTTTGAGGTAACACCATATTGTTTTCCATAGTGGCTGCACCAGTCTGCATTCCCACCAGCAGTGTACTAGAGTCTCCTTTTCTCCACACCCTCGCCAACACTTGTTGTTTGGTGATTTGTTGATGGCGGCCATTCTGACAGCTGTGAGGTGATACCTCATTGTTGTTTTAATTTGCATCTCCCTGATGATTAGTGATGTTGAGCATTTCTTCATATGTCTCTTAGCCATTTGTATGTCCTGTTTGGAGAGGTGTCTATTCAGCTCCTCTGCCCATTTTTTAATTGGGTTCATTGTCTTCCTTTTGTTGAGTTGTATGGGCACTCTCTATATATTGGAAATTAACCCCTTATCTGATATATCATTGGCAATTATGCTCTCCCATACAGTGGGTAGCCTTTCCATTTTGATGATTGTATATTTTGCTGTGCAGAAGTTTTTTACTTTGATGTAGTCCCATGTGTTCATTTTCTCCTTTGTTTATGTTGCCTTAGGTGATGTATCAGTGAAAATTCTGCTGCATATGATGTCTGAAATTTTGTTGCCTACAGTTTCTTCTAGGATTTTTATGGATTCATGAGTTACATTTAAGTCTTTCATCTATTTTGAGTTTATTATTGTGTAGGGTGTAAGTTGATGGTCTAGTTTCATTTTTTGCATGTAGCTTTCCAATTTTTCCAACACCATTTATTAAAGAGGCTGTCTTTACTACACTGTATGCTCTTGCTACCTTTGTCAAATATTAATTGAGCATATTGCCTTGGGTTCATTTCTGGGTTCTCTGTTCTGTTCCACTGGTGTATATGCCTGTTCTTGTGCCAGTACCAGGCTGTTTTGATTACAGTGGCTTTGAGGTATAACCTGAAATCTGGTAACGTGATCCCCCCAACTTTGTTCTTCTTTTTCAAGATTGCCGTGGCTATTCGAGGTCTTTTTTGGTTCCATATGAACTTTTGAAGTATTTGTTCTAGTTGTGTGAAGTATGTCATTGATATTTTGATGGGCATTGCATTGAATCTGTAGATTGCTTTGGGTAGTATGGACATTTTAATGATGTTAATTCTTCCAATCCATGAACAAGGTATGTGTTTCTACTTTTTTATATCTTCGTCTATTTCTTTTTTCAATGACCTGTAGTTTTCTGCAAATAGGTCCTTTATTTCTTTGGTTAAGTTTATTCCTAGGTATCTTAATTTTTTTGCCGTGATAGTAAATGGGATTGTTTTTTTAGTTTCTCTTTCTGTGACTTCATCATTGGTGTATAAGAATGCCATTGATTTCTTGATGTTAATTTTGTATCCTGCTACTTTGCCAAATTCATTTATTAAGTCTAGTAAATTTCTAATTGGAGTCTTTGAGGTTTTCTACGTATAATATCATGTAATCTGCGAATAATGACAGTTTCACTTCCTCCTTTCCCATTTGGATCCCTTTTATTTTTTCCTCCTGGATGCTGTGGCTAAGACTTCCAGTACTCTGTTAAATAAGAGTGGCGAAACTGCGCATCCTTGTCTTGTTCCTGTTCTTAAGGGAAATGCTTTTAATTTTTACCCACTGAGTATGATGTTAGCTGTAGGTCTTTCATATATGGCCTTTATTATGTTGAGATATGATCCCTGTGTTCCAAGATTGCTGGACAATTTTATCAGAAATGGGTGCTGTATTTTTTCTAATGCTTTTTCAGCATCTATTGATATGATCATGTGGTTTTTATTCTTCATTTTGTTTATGTGGTATATCACATTTATTGATTTGTGAATATTGTACCAGCCTTGCATTTCTGGGATGAATCACACTTGGTCATGGTGAATAATTTTTTTGATGTATTGCTGGATCCGATTTGCTAGTATTTTGTTCAGGATTTTGAAATCTATGTTCATCAGGGATGTTGGTCTGTTGTGTTCTTTCTTTGTAATGTCTTTTTCTGGTTTTGGAATTATAATTATACTGGCTTCATAAAACAAGTTTGGAAGTCTTCCTTCTTCTTGAATTTTTTGAAATAGTTTAAGGAGAATGGGTATTAGTTCTTCTTTGAATGTTCGGTAAAATTCCCCCGTGAAGCTGTCCAGACCTGGGCTTTTTGCTGGGAGAGTCCTGATTACATCTTCAATTTCTTTTGTTGTTATTGATCTGTTCAAATTTTCTATCTCTTCCCGGTTCAGTTTTGGGAGACTACGTTTCTAGAAATTTGTCCATTTAGCTTAGATTGTTGAATTTGTTGCCATGTAATTGTTCATAATATCTATTAACAATCCTTTATATTTCTGTGGTATCAGTTATTATTTCTCCTCTTTCATTTCTGATTTTTTGTATTTGGATTCTTTCTGTTTCTTGGTGAGTCTAGCTAAAGGTCCAACAATCTTGTTTATATTTAAAAAGAAACAGCTCTTTGTTTCATTGATCCTTTGAATTTTATTTTTCGTCTCCATGTCATTTATGTCTGCTCTGATCTTTACTATTTCCTACCTTCTACTTGCTCTGGGGTTTTCTTTTTGTTTGATTTCTAGTTCTTTAAGTTCTGAGGTTAGATAGTCTATTAGAAATTTTTCTTGCTTCTTGAGGTAAACCTGTAGTGCGTTGAACTTCCCTCTCAGAACTGCTTTTGCTGCATCCCATAGATATTGTGTTATTGTATATTCATTGTCATTGGTTTCCAGGAATTTTTTAATTTCTTCCTTGATCTCCATGGTAACCCATTCATTGCTCAATAACATGCTATTTATTTAGCCTCCATGTTTTCAAGTGTCTTTGCATGTTCTTGTTGCAATTGATTTCTAGTTGCATGCCATTGTGATCTGAGAAGATGCCTGATATGATTTCAACCTTATTGAACTTGTAGAGACTTAGTTTGTGCCCTAACATGTGGTCTATCTTTGAGAATGTCCCATGTGCACTTGAGAAGAATGTGAATTCTGCGGTTTTGGGGTATAATTCTCTGTAGATATCTATTAAATCCATTTGATCTAGCACTTCCTTTAGAGTCTCTGATTCCTTGCTAATTTTTTATCTAGAGAATCTATCCATAGATGTCAGCGGGGTATTGAAGTCCCCTGCTATGATTGTATTGCTGATTTCTCCTTTGAAGTCCTCCAAAAGATTTTTAATATATGTTGATGTTCCTTAATTGGGTGCATATATGTTTACCAAGGTTATATCTTCCTGTTGCATAGATCCTTTCAATATTATATAGTGGCCTTCTTTGTCTCTAGTTATGGCCTTCATTTTGAAATCTACTTTATCAGATATGAGTCTTACTACCCCAGCTTTTTTCTGCTTTCCGTTTGCTTGAAAGATTTTTTTCCATCCCTTCACTTTCAACCTATGTGAGTCTTTTGTTGTGAGGTGGGTCTTGTAAACAACATATATGTGAGACATGCTTTCTTATTCAGTCAGCTACTCTGTCTTTTTATCAGAACATTCAAACCATTCACATTTAAGGTGATAATTGATATGTACTTATTTATTGCCATTTTTGTTTAGTGTGTTTCTATTTTTCTTTCTATTTCTTCTACTAATTACAGCAGTCCTTTTAGCATAGTTTGCTGTGCTGGTTTGGTGTTAATGTATTCCCTTAGCCTTTTTTTTGTCTGAGAAGCTCTTTATTTGACCTTCTGTTTTGAATGACAGCCTTCCTGGGTAGAGTAGTCTTGGATTCAGACACTTGTTTTTCATGACCTTGATTACTTCATGCCACTCCCTTCTGACCTGTAGTGTTTCTGTTGAGAAGTCAGCTG